GGCGGGTGCGGCCGCTGCGGGGCCAGGGAGCCGGGGAGGAGGATCCGGGGGGCTCCGCACCCCTTCCCACCGCCGAGCACTCACCGTGAGCCGCGGGATCGGGTCGGCCTCCTTCCCCGCCCATGGCCGCCCTCTTCACCGGGAAGGTCCTGACGGTCAACCGGGAACGGGACGAGGTGGAGACGGAGCAGGAGCTGGGCCGGGCGTTGGAGAACAAGGTGCTGCTGCTCTACTTCGGGTCCGGGCAGTGCCCGCGGTGCCGGCAGTTCTCCCCGCTCCTCAAGGATTTCTTCCTGCGCCTGACCGACGAGTTTTACGTGGAACGAGCTTCGCAGCTGGTCCTGGTGTACGTGTCCCGGGACGAGACGGAGGAGCAGCAGAGCGCTTTCCTGAGGTCCATGCCGAAACGCTGGCTGGCCGTACCTTTCGGGGACGCCTTCAAAAGGTACGCACCCCGGGGCGAAGTAGCGAGGCCGGACCCCGCGCGCCGCAAACGGCCCCTCCGACCAGCCCCGGCTGTGTTTTCAGATATTTAGGGTCTTTTCCGGGTGTTTTCCCTCATATTCAGTCCCCACTGGAGCGGTCAGTGCAACGTGATAATGGGAAAAAAAACGTTAAAGCTGTTTGGCTGCACCTATTTATAAAGCAAAAATATTTCCTCTTCCTTCCATCCCGCTTTTTGCTGACATATTTGTATTCCGATTTTATAACGCGCTCTTTATAACTCCCAGCCGACCCTCCAGGCAGAACACGTAGCGTGAAAGACGGATGCAGCCAGGCGGATTGGAAGCACTCACGTATTTGCTGTAACCTCATTAGCGACAGGACGAGCTGCAATTAATACCGAGAATTATTCCCGGCTCCTTTTGAGGACAAACTGGAGCACGTTAAAATTTCAAGCGTCCTGCTGCTCGTGTAAAACACGTTCCCAGCAGCCGTCCCGCATCTCCCGTACCCCAGGGAGCTGACACCCAAATCCCCTTCCCCTTTTACCGGCCCCGCAGAGATCCGCATCAGGCTCTTAATTACCAGCGGTGGACAAACGAGCGGGTAACCTTCAGCGAATAGGCTCCGCGTAACTCCGCGCCGGGACAGCCGCGGGAATCCTCTCGGACGGCGAGGACGAGGGGCGGCGAGGACCGCTACGCCCTTCCCGATCTGAGGTTTCTTCCCCCTTTGCCTTGCAGGGAGCTGGAGCTGCGGTTTGCCGTGTCCGAGGTGCCCGCGGTGGTGGTGCTGAAGCCAAACGGGGAGGTAATCGTCGGAAACGCCGTGGAAGAGATCCGGCGCGTGGGCCCCGCTTGCTTCCGAAACTGGCAGGAGGCTGCCCAGCTGGTAGACAGAAATTTTCTCTTGGCAGAGGATTTTGATGACTGGACCTGGAGAAGCATCACCGACCCCATCCGCCGCCTCAAGTACAAGCTGGACAAGGAGACGGAAGCGAAGAACAAGGAGAGGAAAGAGGAAGGCGAAGAGTCGTCTTAGGGGCTCAGAGAGGCTGCGGCTGCGCGGGCTGACTTGGCCGGGGACGTCCCTCGGGTCGCTGCCCCCACCCGACATCTCTGGAGCAGCAGCATCTGTCTGTCTTGTAGAAGCCCACTAAAATCACGTTAGTTTTCCCAGAAGGTGAATTGTTTTAAGGCCAACGTGCTCTACGCCCAGGCACAGCCTCTCCTACCTGGTGGACTGGTTAGCGTAATAAGGATATTCCGACCCTGACGGAATTACATTTCCTTTCTATCACCCTAGGACCCAGCGTAGTAAAAAATCTCACAGTGACATCTTTGCCATTTATTTACCAAAAAAGTGAGAAGAAAAGTAACTGCTGGAGACCAGCACTCAGTGAAATGTCTCACTAAACAGTTTTTAAAATGGGAACTGCATTAAAAAACAAACCAACCAACCCCGCAGCATGCCCAAGCCTCCTACGGAGGTATGGAGAAGCGGTGACAAACGGCAACAGGAACAGAATCCCTACGATTAGCCGATACAGGGTTGGGTTTTTAGGAGACGGACACCCACGCGCTAAGCGAGCGAGTCCTGAGAAACCTCCCACGTTGCTGCTCACGTTACGCTGCTGAAAATTGTCGTTTCGGACAAATCCTGCTGAGGAGCAGGTTGCTCCACGACCGGAATTACAACATGCAGGAGCCGCCCCGGTGACCTGCCTCTACTTTATCTGCTAATCGCGGTTGCCATCTGCCGCTGCAGAGTGCCCAGCGCCGCAGACGGCAGCGATCCGCCGGGAAGCCGAGTCCCATCCCGGGTGGAAGATCTGCCCGTCCTAAACCTACCGCGGCAGGCAGCGGACTGGTAAACTGCCAGGGCAGCGCACATCCTTAGTAAACATCACTCCGCTTCGTCCTTCCGAATTCAACAGATTTGCACGAAGGCGACTCCGAACGGCTGAGGGGGACCACGCTCCGCAGCCAAACGTCTCGTTTACGGAGCCTGCAGGGACTCCTGCTGCGCGCATCCCCCACTTTCCGTAACCAAGGGGTCTGAAAAGCAGGAGAAGGGGGAAAGGGACCATTCGTTTGCTCGTGTCTGGTCCCCTGTTCTCCACTCTGTCACCAGGGGATGAGCAGAGGATTTCCAAAAGCTTTGCCGGATCCGTGAAGGATCTGGGAAGGAAAGCGCATGTCGGTGACAGACATAGAAGCCGTGCAAGGCCGGCTTGTTCAACTTGTTTTCTCAGTTAATCCTCCCTCTCTTCACGCAGCAAGTCTGACAGGTAGATGAGGGAAGGAGGAGAAGGCCTGTAAAACAAACGGTTGGGAGGGACTCTGCTTTAGGTGGAACGAGAAGGGCGCTTCCTTCAGGATGCTCTGCACGGACACCGCGTGAAAAGGCACAAATAAAACCCAAAAGCGCTTTCAGGTGACTTGCCTGCTGGAGGAGTTGAGGCTGTGCTGGCCGACGGTCACTGGCGGAACAATACGCCATCTACCTCGGGCGATGTCCAGCAGTTAGTACGCCCCTATTTAAAAAAGAAGTTAGAAATCACAAATTAGGAACCTGGAGCAATGGGAGGGAGGCAAAGGGCAACATTTTCACCTGTTATTAACTGGCAGTCGGGTGCTTCTTCCCATCCCCGTGGGACTTTGATGTCAGTAAAAGGACGCTCTCCACCTGAATTTACGTAAAGTTCAATAATATTAAATGTGGACTTTGACCAGCCCTACCCGTTTGGGTATTTTTGACCATCGTATCTTCCTCTGTTCAAAACCAAAAGTTGCCCTTTTCTCGGTCGTTGCGTGGCCGAGGAAGGGACATTGAGCGATAGCGAAAAGCGAATCTGCCGGCACAGGGCAGTGCCGCCGGGCTAACATCATCATCACAGAAGAGAGAAACAAGGGCTTTATTCCTCTTGGTTTTCTGGACTTTTTCCCCCCCCCAGTAAAAGAAGCCGTAACGCTTATGAGCGTACTTTAGGCAAAAGCATGAGACGGAGTCGCTCTTACAACTAGCAGAGCTCGGCAACACGCGGGAAGCCCAGAAAGCCAAACGGACAGGCTGCGCGTGGGCAGGAGTCTGAGGACGAGGGGAGGCAGCGCCCGCGGACGCTCTACCTAGTGAGTGAAGGCAGTATTGCACTTCATGCTGGCTGCGAGGAGAAAAATCCTACCAACAGCCGGCCACAAACGTTACTTCTCCATCTCAAGTTCCGTCAGAGATGAAAATCCTCCCGATGGATGCGTCGCACGGCGCTGTTAAGACATTTAGCTCTGCTTTCATGCGTGGGGCTTATCATTTATATTTTTGGAACACAGAACAAAGGGCATTTCAACGCTTAGGGCAGCATCTAAGCACCCTCTAGTGCAAATAACCCATTTCTGATCTATTTACTTTTTCAGACAGGCTACCTTACAGCTGGTCTGCGTAATTCTTGCTTTACCTTTTCGCTTTGTCACACAATCTCCTGACGAAGAGCCTTGCTGTTCTGTAAAAAAAATAAAATACCCTGATGCACGTGGAATCACGAAGATGCTTCACAAGTTTCAGACAGCAGAGGGTTAATGAAAGCCGGGTAGGAGGATGGGTCTGATCCAGTAGATAGCCTGGGAAGTGAGTAATTTCACAGCTCCCAAGAGGAATGTGGAAAATCCACACAGCCTGACACCTGTCTGAGGTTGCAGACTCGTCCCACAGGCAGACTGCACGTAGCGTCGCTTCCCGCAGCGGAGGCACGGGGCAGCCCAGCGGAGATTCGGGAGCCCAGCTGCACCAGGACACCGGCAACGGCTCGATTTTCTGGTTTCACCAGCAAATACCAAGATGCCGCGGTACTTCGGATAAACAGAGATTTCTCATGAGAGGTGATGGCTTTTTCCTCGTCCGTGTTTTAGCTGAGGAAGGACAATGAGAGAGATGGAAGACATTCTCCACAGCTCACCTAAACCAACGTTTTTACTTGCAGGTAGTGTTACGGTAAATAAGAGAGACCGATACGGAAATGCAGCGCTATTGCATATGGATATTGGGGGCTCGTTCTTGATATCCAAGCCTCGCTAAGAAAAAGTTTCCTAAACCTGGGTTTCCATTTGCAGGAAAGGGTGCAAAGGAACTTGATAATCAAAACTTGCTTCAGTCATTTCTCAGAGAACAGTGGTTGCAACTCTACTGAATTAGAAAATTAATAAATGCCGAGAGCATGAGAATTCATCCCACACCTTCCATTTTTTTCCGAGTGTCTTGTCTTGCGTCTCCAGGTGCTTTTGCAGGATGCTGCTTCTCCTCCTTTCAATGAGGGGGAGCCGTGCTCACGGCCCGCCAGACCTCGGAGGTGTGCACCCAAAAACATAGCCTGAGAAAAAGGCTCACCCACCGGACCCCCACCTCGCCATGAACGGGCCGGGAGCCCAGGACAGCGCCGGTCGCGCTCGGATCGCAGGCGGATCGCCAGGCAGACGCCTTCCACCCGGCCGCGAGGCCGATGCCGGATGCCTGGCTGCTGCTTGGGCTTCGATCCAGAGCCCTGCCCCCGGTGATCGCGCCGGCCGCGTGGACCTCACGGCCAGCGAGGTGCTCCGCATCACCAAACACCTGAGGAACATCGACAGGAAATTTCAGAACTTCCGGGAGCTCTTCCAGAAAGGTAAATATTTTTCAATCCACTTATTTGCTTACAAAACAAGCAGATTACGTTCAGCAAAAGTGATCCTGTCTCATTCTTGCTGCATTATTTATTTAAAACAATTTAGACAGCCCTCAGACAATTTAGGGTGGCTTCTCTCTGCACAGATATTTAATTATGTAAATGTCTTTTCCTATAATGAATTGCACCAATAGATAACCTTTCAGAGCACTTAACCTTCTAAGTGCACAAGTTTCCTCCAAAAGCCATGCAAAAAAAAAAACAAAACAACAAACCAAAACCACTTCAAGTGCTCTTGACAGCACCTGCAATTACTCACGAGTGAGTTAAACTGGCTGGAAGAAAGGGTGCCCGCGATGACCCTGTTGAGAGAACCGGGATTCATCACCGGGAAGGAGTCCAAATGCCACCAGTCGAGGAGAGGCTCAAGCTGGTGGTGCTCTGGGTGGTGGTGGGAGCCCACGCCTGTGTCACAGCCTGGAAACGAGCTCCAGCAGAAGTGCAGTGCCTTCCGGTCCGGCACGCCAGCGCTTTCCTCCTCTCTCCTCCTTTTTCCCAGGATAGCCTCTGTACTTGCAGGACGCTCTCCAGGCTGGAGCCCAAGTAGAGAGACCTAAACCGAGAATTAAGAGAACAGTTATCACAGGCTCGGTACCGCTCTAGAAATCTTGTACAGCATGGCACCATTAACAAAATCCCTTCAACTACTTGCTGGAACAAGAAGCCTCCTGGAGAAGTGCCACCCTCTCCACCAAGGCATCTGGAGTTCCCTGTGATCTTGGTCTCCCCACCCACAGCCGCAAGCTGTAGCTCTAGGTCATGGTGACTGCCTTACCCCAGGCACGCCAAACAAGTTGGGTTGGCCGTGCCTCTCGAGCAAGACTCCTAACTGCGGGGGTGCTCTTAGCTTTACAAGATGTTTGCTTTCAACAGCCCCCAAACAATGCCGGCTGCGCATGGAAATTCAACCTGCCTGGGCTGGCTCCTTCGCTGAGCGTCTTTTCCAAGTGCCCAGCTTGGGACTGCATTTTTGTCTCGGAGGTTGGCCTTTGGGTGTAAAGACACGAAGATACGCAAGACTCCTGCAGCAGGAAGCGGGGAAGTTCATCGCTTGGGCTCGTGGAGTAGAACCCAGACAAAAGGCAGCGTGGAGCCTCATTGAAGGTCCTGGCCCTGGTGACTAAGGACTGGGCGATTTCCACATCCAGCCCATCACTGCACGTGGGTTTTTTGCTTGCTTTGGTCTTCAGAGTTTGTTATTTGCAGTTTCGCGCAGAACTCGAGTATTTAGGAACAGCCGGGTACCTGTACCGCTGTGCTGAAGTGAGCTCATCCTGGGAGAGGTGAGGGTGAGAGTTTATGCATGCAAAAAAATTATAATTTTTCCCCTTCTTAATTTTAGGAGAAGTTATTTCAGTTTCTGTTGAAGCCAAACTGGCAGACTTACTGCAAGCCATCTCCTCCTTCCTGAACGCATATCCTGCTTTGACCGGGGATGCCATCCAGCCTGCCGTAGCAACCCTTATCGCCAATATCAATGGTAAATCCATAACCTTAGAGAACCTAACGAGCGCTGTAGTTATTGCCCTCTGCTCAGTGGTGATGGAAAGCTTTCAGCCGGGCTCAGCACAGACACACGTGGGTGTCCATGTGCACGGAGAGCACACGTCACTACCGAAGCTGAGCAGAAGTCAGTGATCATCAAGGGTTGTTTGTATCCTGATCCCATCGTTAGGGCAAGACAGTGCTTTTAAAACAGATGAAAGCAAGGTAAAGGCTTAGGTGTGAGAGCCCTTCTATTGAGGTTGACAATTGCGCCGGCAAACCGCACCTATCTGTCTGTTTTCCACTAATAAAGACACATTGCGTTCGGATGGTGAAACCGAAGAACGGAAACGCGAGGCTCCGGGGAACTGTTCTTGGCTTAGTTATGTCTGTTGGAGCGAGCAGGCGTGTGTCAGGACTTCTCTCTCTGCCGAATTCCTGTATAACCCTGTGCAAAATGTTTTCACGTGTTTGCTTGTCAGTGCATGGCAGGGGGGGAGAATTAGACTGACCCACAGGACGGTTGAGATAGTTCGTTTACACAGCCCTTGGAGGTCTGCAGGCACCACGCGCTAATTAAGAAACTGTTAACAGCCTCTGGGAGGTAAGGGTAGTGTCCTACGCCACGCTGACCTTCGCGGTTTGATGGTTTGAATCCTTAATGCTCTTTCTATCCCCGTTTTGCACATTATTGTCTTGGGAGCTCAGACGTACTTAAATCTAGTGGAAAATCCTCACCTGAAAACTAGTCTCAGCCTCCTCAGAAGAAAAGCACGGTGGTTCCTGGCCTTTGTTTCGGGGGTCAGGTGAGCTTCAAGGGGAAGCACTGAATGTCCCGTCCCAATATTCTCTGTATCAGCGGAGCCAGGACCTCTCAGCACGAGGCTCTCAGCGAGGAGCTGGAAGGAAGGACAGTGCACTAACCACACCGCCACTTTCACTGCTCGGTTTCTTTCCTCCCCTGCCTTCAAAAGACTTGCCGATGTGAAAATATATTTGCCTGATAATATAGCAGCAGTGACGTAAAGGGAAGTTTAATGAGACCTCATAGGGGGCTGCTCCTGTGTATTGTCTGCAGTAAGTTGCCATTGTGCTTGGTCTAAAAGAGTAATTAAAAAAAATTTCACCTGTTAGAAATGCAGGAGGAGTTTGCAGGCTGCGCTGGAGGAGCTCAGTGTCAGGAGAGCAGCCGAAGCAGCTTTCTGCTCCGCGATCGGTGCTGGTCTGACTGCAGCTACAGCTTCCCTCCGGTTAGAGGACCACGGTATTACGCTGTACACAGCTCTGTGTTACCTTGGAAGTGGAAGATGGGCCATTTCTCAACAATTCCCGTACTTCCCTTTTGCGAGCCTGTGATCTGCAAAAGAAAGTTGAGGGGTTTACCATCTCCACTTTTACCCCCCCAAAAAAAACCCAACCGAAAAAAGACATACTCATTCCGCAAGAATGTCTAGGCAACGGCCTGATGAGACTGGGAATTGGGATCCTGAGCTATGTTTCTGGTAAATAAGGAGCCACCCCCCTTGTTTTTATTAGCTCTTTTTTATATCATTAATTGAAGGGGTGTGGCTGTACTGTGTTGCAATCCTTTTGGCTACAAATGCCTTTCGACTAGAAAAACACTTTTTAGAGCACTTATCTGTAAATAAAGCACTTTGCAAACAAGGTATGATAATTCTACTTATACTAAACATACCTGTAATTACAC